GTGTGTGTGTGTGTGTGTGTGTGTGTGTGTGTATGTGTGTGTGTAAGAGAAAGAGGAAAGGAATCTCCTTTACCCTTTTCTGCTAACCCTCAGATTCTCTTTTCAGACTTCCATTCAAAGTCAAAACTTCAGACTCTAGTGGAGAAGTTACCAGCAAGACAACCTTGGTGCAGGTGATTCACAAAGACAGACCCACACAGACAGGCTACAGAGCCAGGGCCAGGCACAAGTCCCTAAAGCGCATCTGACTCCAGCAAACGCAGTCCAAATAAATTTAATAAACAGAACCAGGATCCAAGGCTGCGGGGGGTAAGTTACCAGGGCACGCTTTCCTGTTCTGTGCCACTAATCCATAGAAAAGGTCAGCAGCACATACATGTCCCTTTCTGAAAGGGAAGCTAAATTATTTCAACCTGTCCAATGTCACAGACATTTAACCTTAGTTTCATTAAGAAGGGCATGAAAAACAGAACTTCCCATTATTTTCTTAGAAACTGCCCTTTCAAATAATCACCTAAATATTCTCCAAGATGTAAGGAGTGAGTCACATCCGCACACCTCCCTTCCCCGCAGTGCTAACTGCTGCACTGCAAAGAAGCTTAATACTCAGAATAACAGAAGTGGTGATACAGACATATGTCCAGTAAAACAACCACCGCCTGACCCCCCATCTAATACAAACTTTACAATCTGCCTGTAAATCATGTAAGATACGCATGGAAATCAGATTCCAGGGGAACACAGACCTGTCACCTGAGATTATAAGGATTTTATGACATAAAAGTACTGAACACTCTTCTATCCCTGCCCCTATCTCTAAAAAAGAGGTGGGGGTGTAAAGCAGGCTGTTAAACAGGTATTATTTTGCATCACATTTCACACTTCTTTACATTTTACATTCTGTTAACTTCTTTATGGAGAAGAAAACTAATAAATCAGCAACTTTAATCTTTCAGTGTGAAGGTTTCTCTTTTATCTACTGGAGGCTCTAAGTGAAACCAAACTGGTGAGCAATAGTCCAGAGCCCCCAGTAAGCTGTGTGTGAAAGCACTTTTTTAAACATAGTTAACTATCTGAGGGGGAAAAGGGGGAGCTTGGCACTTCTTAAAAATGCAGATTTTTCTTCCCTGCCCTAGGTATGGTTACCTTTTCATCGTAATTGATAAACTAAGATAAAGGGAGACAGGCACAGACATTACCCCAACTTCTGTACCACAGCACATCGTTAGTGAAATTTAATTTAGCAAACTCCTTGTAATGAGGCACTGACTTTAACAACAGAAACTTGCCTCGTATTTCCCTAAGAGAAATAAACTTGCATTTCCTAGAACTTGTATTTAATACTTACTGTAGCAGTTTTAACCTGCTAAATCTTAACACAACTTTTGTCTACTTACGTTTTCACCATCTACTAACTGTACTTTCACGACAAGACTGTAATCATACCATCATATTTCCACATAATACCGTAAGAACCAGTATCTTCTAGACTAAGCAACAGGAAAAATGAGAAATTTCCTGTTTACAAATGTTTTTAGCAATAACCAGTTACCAATATGCAAGTAACAGCACCGAAGGAGGCAAACTAGTTTTTCTAAATAAATTACTGAACTAAAATTCAAAATTCAGAACATTTTAATAAAGTAAATACTTTAAAAAAATTAACCACGTATTTCATACCTCTGAAAGGAACTTGTTCTGGCCCTGCTTTGCCTTAAATCGCTTAATCTTTTGCTGAATTCTCTTATCTTTTTCCAGATCTTCTACAGATGCCCACTGACAATGAAGATAAGAGCTAAAAAAAAATAAATAATAATATACTTGAAACATGTCAAAAACAATTAATCTTTTATTATATATCTTTTTATTGTTCCCCCAAAATCAAGTAAACGGATAATTAGCAAAATAACCTGTTTAATTACTCATAGAGGCTGCTGAGCAACATTCAACATAATTACTAATGTTTGAGAATAAGAAAATCAATAAAACAGTGCCTAAAATTTGCCTTCTGTCTGAGCCCCCAGCTCTCTTATCCACTTCCCATAAAATAAAAGATCCAATAACAAGCTGTTTTCATAAATGAATGGATTACACTTCAATACAAAGCAATTAAAACTAGAGGGTGGCCTTAATTATGAATTTATGTTTTGAGCCTTTTACAACTAATTGAGAAATAAAAGGTTTTTATCAAGCTAAAAATTCAAACTTGAAATAGCAAAGGTAAACCTTCTAGAGCAATCCAAGAGAAAGGCCCACTCCGCCCACTTTCTGAACACCCATGCCCCCCCACGGTTCCTAATCAGTGCCTGCCCTCCCAGCCCAGTCCTTCCAGCTCTGAAATGATGCCCCTGGTTCCCTTGTGCATTCTCCGTCTCTAATGTGTACCTGTTCTTGCAACGGGCAAGTCCCCTCCCTTTCAGATTCACCGCCAGCCTGCTCTGAGCACATGGTGTGTCTTCTCTAACCTTAAGCTTCAGTCCTCTCCACCCTCCCTCTTTCTTCCCCAAGACTCACAGGTATATACTTAATGTCTTATGGTGCCCCCGACATTATTTTGTGTGGTATTTCAACATTCTTTAGTACTACCTTTCTCTCCCTACCCTGATGGCCTCAAGTGTCTCTTATTTCTCTTACTAGTGATGACGTTAAAAAGGAATGAGGTGCTTGAATATATACCTCTTTCAAAATCAAGGTACTACTCTTAGAAATTGTGCAGCCATTATAAAATCTTTCAAAAATGACTAATGATACGGAAACGCTTATGATATTAAGTATCGTGTCATTTACGTTTACCTAATGTTTAACATGCATCTTCAAAGAGAGGACTGATTTAGTCCCACAGTTGACTGAGGGAGATAGGACTTTAAATACACATACGCCTTATATAGATATGAATTGATATAAACCCTGTCCACACATATTCATAGAGAAAAAAGACTAGATGAAAATACATCAAAATGTTAATAATCATTATTTTGGGGTGGTAAGACTGCAGGTGTTTTCTTTTCTACTTTCAACCCGTATTTCCCAAATTTTCAATAAACAGTACTCAGTACTGCTAGAACCAGAAGCAAACAGAATAACCTAGTCTAGTCTCCAGTTACTGGGTAGAGAGGGGTCTGTGCAGTCAGTACTCTTGTCCTGGCTGCGAGGTGCAGGCCTTGGAAGCACAATCAGTGTGAGCAGGAGGTGGACAGAGGCTTCTCTCTCTCACAAACTGGGCTGAAATTTTTGGTCAGGGACTCTGCTTTACTAAACGGAGAAAAACCACAGGCTTTTCACCAAGATCAGAAGCAAGGTAAGGATGCGCACTCTCCCCACTACTATTCAATATCAGAGTCGAGGCACTAGCCAATGCCATTAGATGAGAGAAAACAGGAGCAATAACTGGAAAATAAGAAGTAAAACTATCTCTATTGGCAGATGATATAATTGCATAACTGGAAAACCCAGGAGAATCAATTAGAAAAGTAATTCAAAAAATAAAATAATTCCAGTAATGTAGCAGGGTATAAAATTAAGTCAACAGCCTCCATTCACACAAACAATGACCAGTGAGAAGATGTCACGTTAGAGAAAACCTCTTTTACAATATTAACAAAGATAAAATACTTAGCAATAAAGTTTAATAAGAAATGTGTGAAACTTAATATAAGGAAATGTTTAAAACTCTCCTAACAGACACAAAAATAGAGTTGAACCAACTGGAAAGATACCCTTGTTTTTAGACAGCATGATTCAACATTATAAAGTTGAAAATTTAACACAATGTAAATAAAAATGTAAATAAGCATTTCTATGGAGCTAGACAATTTAATGCTGAATTTATATATAAAAATAAACATGCAAAAATATCCAAGAAAACATTGAAAAGGAAATGCTCTCAGGAGAAACCTAGACATAGCAGACATTAAAACACAACGTAAAGCCTCTATAAGGAAAACAGTGTGCCACAAGCTTATGAATAGACAAAGGATTAGACTACAGCACAGATCCAGATCCAAATAAATATGTAACTTTAGTACACAATAAAGGTTGCATCTCAAATAGGCGGGGCAAAGATAGACTTTTTAATAGTGCTGCTAGAACAACAATACTTGGAAAAGAATAAAATTAGAGCCATGTTTTATGCCACACATAAGAATAAACACCAAGTGGGTGAGGCACCTAAACATGGACAATGAAACCATGCAAGCCCTAGAGGAAAACACAACAATTCCTCTCTAACCCGAATGCAGAGAAATGCTTTCTAACTATGACTCAAAAACCAGAAGAGAAAAGATTAATAAATATAACGACATAAATGTATATATACATACATATATATATATGTGTGTGTGTGTATATATATAAAATAAAATAAAAAGACAATTGAAATGGGTGGGGGAGGAGAGGAAGTTACAATAGATAACACAGACAAGGGACTAATATCCCACATAAAGAACTCTTAAAAATTGAGGAAAGCACAATAGAAAAATGGGCAAAAGACATAAACAAGCAACTGACAAAATAAGATATAAAATGGCATTAAACTTATGAAAATATGTTCTACTTCATTCATAATAAAAGAAAACACTAACTGGAACTACACTGAAATACAATTTCTCACAAAAAGTATAAAGTAAACTATATACTATGTTGGAAATACTGTGGGAAAACAGGTGCTCTCATACACTGGATTGGAAAGCAAACTGACACAACCCTACGGGAGGAAATATGACAATAACAGAACTTCATACACCTTCGGCGCCTCTGAGCTTGCAATCCCACTTCTAGGAACTTGCCCCAAAGCTATGCCTCCAACAATTTGAAAATAGACAGGCATGGGAATATACACTACANATGACAATAACAGAACTTCATACACCTTCGGCCTCTGAGCTTGCAATCCCACTTCTAGGAACTTGCCCCAAAACTATGCCTCCAACAATTTGAAAATAGACAGGCATGGGAATATACACTACAGCGTTATCTGTAACTGTAAGCTCCAGGAGCCACTTACATAGGGGACTGGCTGAATACGCTATGATGCAGCCCTGCAATGGAGTACTATGCCGCTGGAACAAAGAGTGAGGAAGACCTCATGAAATGGTGTCCAGTGTTTTCCAGAATATAATCTGGTGAAAACAGCAAAGTGCAAATGTGTACTGCTAATATGCTATTCATTTGTGTGCAAGAAGAGAGGGAAAGTAAGATACAGTGTTGTATTTCATATGTGTGACACACATAATATGTGTGCATATATATGCACGTTCATGGCAAAATTTTGGAAAGGATAAACCTGGAATTAATAAGAATGGGGTGGAAAGGAAGGATAACACTTTTTTGAGTATCCTTTTGTGTACAATTCTGACTTTTGAACCAGTGAATATTCATGAACTTGAATTGTACGTGTCAATGAGGATGGGGAGCAGGGAGCTAAAATGAAAGATAAATACAAATAGAAACTAATGAACCAAAATAAGTATCAAATCAGTAACAACCACACTGAAAGGGGGCAAGAGGAGGAAAAAAACTAACCCAAGGAAATTTTGGACAAAGTATTTAGCCTCTATACCCTCCGGCTAAATCGAAAAAACTCTAAACAAGGACCAAATGAAGTCGTTGGTAGGCTTCTTTTTCACAGAAATATGATCTAGTAATTCGGAAACCACTTCCTGTATATTCTAGGACTGACGAGTAAGCAAGTACACTGTGGAGAGTAAGAGCCAAGTTTCTTGTGGTCAAAGAAGGGAGTTATTAATATCAGCAGCGGAAAGGACAGAAGGAACCCTGTGGCACTGAAATACATTTGGAAGTTATCAATACAAAGGCACTGCTTCTCACCGTTGTTAGTTTGGTAGGCAGGCAGAGGTGTGTGTCTATGTAATTAACATGTGTGTGTGTAACGTGTGTGTATGTACATCATATATACATACACATGTCCATGCACATAAGTGTACACGGACATAAGCACACCCCTCCTAGACCTATCCGCTGAGAGAGCCCAGAAATGACTCCCCAGCAATGAGCACACGTAGGAAAGCTACAAGGTGAGTCTGGAGTATCCTCCTGTACCAGGAAAGCAAGCAAGAGCTCAAAGAGGACAGGACAAGCCAGCTGGAAGGGGCTCCCCATGGCCAAATCTGGGATATTGTGAGCAAAGTAAATAATGATATGATAATAGAGAGTTACAACCTGTTGCGATAAAGTAAAATGCCACAAGTCTACACTGCTGTAAATAAACAAATGGGTAGAAAGGTAAAGTTCCTCCTTATAGTTGAAACCCAACTAACAAATTTAGAAGGAGTGATGACATTAGTAAGTCGCCACTTAGCAGCCATTATCATATTTAATAATCTCAAAGTATCTTTCTACAAGATACTTTTTAATTATAAAAAGAAAAATTCTTTGTATTATTTTTGCATTTTTCCTGTAAATCTGAAATTATGTCAAAGTAAAAGGTTCACAGAAACCGTTGATCTTATGGAAATTTTAATCTCCTTTAGATCTCAATAATGTCCAGTAGGAAACTATGTTTTAGAACCACCTTTGCGCCTCCTCTCATACGACTGGCTAAGGATGGCTGGTCTCCCCTGGCCTGGCAGTGGTCCCTGGTCAAAAATACCGTGACCTCCTCTGGGGTTGCGTACAGGCCAGATTAGATGTTTCCTATGAGTCCAGCACCCCAGTTCCCACTGCCCCACACTGATTTGGTAGATGCCTATTTAGTGTCCTTTTATGGCAATCGATACTTACACATATTTGCTCTGAGTTTAATCTGATAAATGTACAGAGAGTTCACTCTCCCTCTCGGGCTTAATTCATTATCTCCTCCTTACCTACCCCCTACCACTTTCTCTATATGACTGTATAAAATCATGTCATACTCATAATTTCCATCACTGTAAACTCATCATGCTCTGAGTATCCAACGATGACGACATCTAATGTTTACCGAGCATGTTTTATTGCCAGACTCTGTTATTTCCTAGAACTCTTGCAGTAACACTGGTAAGAGACTTCCTTATCTTACTTGGTAAAAGGTTTTGCTCACAGAACTTCAGAAGTGCACCAGCTCATTACCACAATGCCAAGCGCAACAGCAGAGAATGACAGGAGGCACGAGGCCTGGCACGTTCATGATCTAGGGTAGGGTGAGTTTTCTTACACTGTCTTGACAGTAACACCAAAAAGCCTCTCTTTAAATCCTAGAATTTATCAATATGGTACTTGAGTTCCTTCCCTTAAAATGTTTGTAGCAAATTTAATGTTTCTGTTATCATTGAGTATTTGTGTCTTTCTTCTCTGATTGTTGCTTAGGCTAGAAAATGGCCTCAGTCGTCTTCAGCAGGATGACTACTGATCCTTGGAGCAATGCCATCTCATCAAAATGTGTGTTTGGTCCTAGTAAACTGCGTACGTTCAATTCAGCTTTTTAAAAGTTATACAATTCAAATTCATTAAACAAAAATTAGAAACAAAAACAGATAAACACAGCTCACTGCATTTCAACATGTGAGTGGTGTCATGATTCTCTAGAGCTCTGGCCTGACAGTGGGGTTCTCGTCTCCAGTGTCTGGCATCCCACGCACAGAGCGGGGGAGGAAGGGAAGCCCCACAGAGGGAAATTCCTTCTCAGGGGACAGGCAAGTACTGCTACTCACTCTCCTCTTACTGCATGAGTTTTTATCCCCTCCAAAAAGAACTTCTTGGCTATACACGAAAGTTAGTCAACTTTTCCACCCATTACACATTTTCCAGAAAAATTAAATTCGTAAAATATCAAACGTTATTAGGCAATGGTCTTCAAAGTTCTAAATAATTCATACCACAGTTTCCAAATTCCCAATTATTTTTTATTTTCCTAATATTTTTAAACCATTGTTCAGTACTTTGAAAATATATTCCCCAATTTAAAAAAAAAAAAAAAATCAAAATCTACTTACAAGTTTTTGTATTTCACATAGAATTCCTCAACTTCTACCTCCTCTCCAGATTCCTTCTGCAACAAAAGAAAATTTCAGGCACATACTTAAAACCATCTACTAGAATATTCCAGAAGTAATGACTTACTCCCATATGCACATGAAACAGGAATGACAGAAGCAGCACAGGAGGTTCCTGTAAAGATGATCACATCGTAAGCTGGTGGGCGGCAGTGAGTTGTAGACCGACACACTCAGGCCCTCGCACGTTGCTCGACGTGCTACAGCTTCTAAGACATGAATCATTTTAACTCCTCCCTAACCACATGCAGCTTCATTCACAACAACCTGACCCCAAATCTGGCTTTCTGCCAAACCCACAGTGTTAAGTAGACGCCAAGTGTACCATTTTCTCAGGCAGCAGCCAATTAGCAACTGCTCTCCTGAATGCCATATGTATTATTTTTGGCTGCCTCATGGCAACTTTACATTGTGGGTTTTGTAATGTTTTAAAATATTTAAAAGACATTTATTCCTCCATATAGTTAATAACTCTAAACAAGAAACCATATAAAACTGAACCTTGTGCTTACGCTGTAATTTCAGTGCATCACGATTCAGTTTTAGTTTTACTCAATGGCACAATTAAAATCTCTCAGACAAGATGTCTCACATACATAGCAGCCAAATAAAATTAACACTCCAAATACTACACTGAGGTAAGGTTAACGTTGTGATGAACACCAGCCAAATCGAGAGTCCCATGGTCACGTTATCAGTAACATCTCCCTTCATCCTGCCGACTGCAGTGGATGCAGAAGGTACCACTCACGTGACACTCGAAACATCTCTTTCAATATGTTTTTCCTTTTGGTTTTAGGCTATTAAACAAGTCATAATATGTAATTTTCTTCTGGAACATTTGATCAGATAAGTCAGGGATGTAAATATAAACACCACTTACAGATGTTTAGGAATCAGTTTTACACTCTCACAAGAGCACCCAAACCTGCCTTGAGGGTCACATTTGGCGAAGCTGTCTAAGAAATGCTGCAAAAAGAAATTAAGGCGAGTAGTAACATGAGAGAAGACGAATAAAGGAGCAGACTTCAACTGGATGACAGGCTACACAGGATCTGTTCAAAGAGACTATAGTTTCCCTCAATCCCTTCAAACTATTACCAGAGATTGTGAACTTGAAACTTTTCTTCCAAACTCTCACATGTATCAGTTAAACCTAAATTTAAAACAGCTTTTCCACCTGCCTAAAGATCATCAAGAGGATAGTACTCAGGAGTGTGGTCAAAACCCATTAATACCTGGTTCTGCCCTATGGATCTATAAATGGTCATAACCATAAAACAGCTCCTTAAACCAATGTATTCAGAACACCGTCTATGTTTCAGACCTTTAGTTGTCCAAAATGAAATGTCTGCTGCATGCCTTCAAGAGCCAGCAACATAAACCTGGAATTAATTTAGAGATGTAGTCTAGCCAAGTCTAGTGACAATCCACCTAGGGCCCACCTTACTTTTTCCTAGCCCCAGTATTACGCCATTCTACTACCACAATCCAGCAGTGATCTCAAGGTATGTTATCTCTGTGCAGAACCGGAGACTCTGGTAGAAAGGCAAAGACAAGACAGCAGACAACAAGGGACAATGGAAAGCCCAGGTGAGCCTACACCTTCTGACACTTCTCAGAGCATATCATGAAATTGAAGCCTAGAATGGAATTCAAATGTCTGATCTGCTGTTTTTACTCTTTTGACACTAACTACATGTTTTTCAATTCTGAAAGGGTTTTTCAAAATTATGTGTGTTTGAGGTGGTAGAAAGACAAGCTTTATCATTGCTCTACTATTTCCTGATTCCCCCTCTTCCTGACCTTTCCTCCTGTCCTGTCTCCTTTCCATCTCACTCTAAGTGGTCTCACCGTCCCACAATTTCCAAATGGGCACCAAAGCACACAGGATCAGCTCTTGAACAACAGATTGCTTTCATTCTGTCTCAATTCTGTTCCCAGAAAGCTCCGACTCTCACAACCATCAACTGTCTGTCCCTGACTCTCGTTAATACCCATTTTCTTGTCATGATCAGCTATTCCTCTGGGAACCTTCTTTGGAGATGCCTAACAAGAGGCCTACAGCAGTCTTGGAGAAGCAATTAGGTTCCAAGGCCTCATTTAGTAGCACTTGGAGCTGGTGCAGAATTGTCCCTAGGGCCCATTGCTTTTGGATGTCCCAAATTATAAGTCTGTGCTTTAACTGACTACACACTGAATTACCTTCTTGCCCTTAGAACTAGAAACAGAACTGTTTTGAAACATTTATTTCACATAAATATGACCATGCTGACCTCTTCCTCATTACTAATAGCTAAACAATTAACAAGAGTGTGAAAATTCATAAGCCCTCAGGAGCATTATTTTAATTATTCTAAATGGTGGTCAGTTTGACCAGCCTCTGGTGACAGCTGAAAACAGCTCCAACCCCTACCCCCAATGCCTTAATTTGCAGAAGCTACTTTATAAAAGGCATACACAATAAATAACTGAGTCAAGACACTATTTCTGTGCACACACAAAATCCAGTGGACTTTATCCCTTGGTACAGTTACCATTAAATATGACAGCCCTCTGAAGTAATTTTACATGTTCAACAGAATAATTTAAGAGAAGGGTTTATCTTTTCAGAAGACTCCAAAACTAGTCTATCAAAATCCTTATTACTCATAGGATCATTACAGTTCTAAACATATTGAGCCACTCTTGTCTCACTGTCACATGAACCAGAAACCCTGATCAGGCAGTAAAGTGACTCCTCCAGTCACCTGGACCCTAAACCAGCCACCTAGCCTGGAAGAATGAATGGCCTTTCCTAAGCATCTTATTAGTGAACTAGGCAGTCACCCTGGAGAAACAAAGCTACACTGGAGTACATAAAAAAGAAAAAAACTATCCTAACGCACAAAAGAATGAGAAAGTACCTCAGTAAAGTATCACAAAGGTATGAGCCCCTCCTACTTCTGGGCCAACCCACCACATATTCCATCAGAGACACCAAATCACAGGTTTCCGCACGGAGAAAATAGGGGCATCAGAACATATGGGATGAAGACTTTTGCCTTCCTTATACTCTGTTTTTGGGGGGGTTTTGCTACTGAGTTCAGCTAAAGAAGATTAAAACAAGCAAGCACCTTGGAGTTTAAAATAAGCTCTCAAGAAAGAAAATATTATCATGCAAAGAAAAATAAAGAATTTTAAGAAACAGTCAGAATTGACTTTTGAAACAATTCTGACCTTCTGATACAGAAAGGGCTTGAGTTCTCCTCAAAGCAGAAAGGGCTACCTGACGATGGAATGTGGAAAACGAAAGAATTAACCTTGATGCTACCCAAAAGTCCATTCTTAAATCTACCTCAAAATTCGAGCATCAACTATATACCCCTTGCACTGGGTCTCACCCACATTAATTTGGGTTTGGGGCAACATACACACCTGAGCTGCCCCTATTTAACAGGAGGTGCTGAATTGGGGGGGCGGGGGGGTTGCCAGGAGCTCTGGGAGTCTGCAGAATCCATTGTAACAGATCATCCCTTCGGGCTACAGTGATGAGGTCAGCTGACTCTGAAAGCCATTAACTGAGTCCCCACTATGTGTCAGCAGGGTGGGCTCAGAGAGCTCATGGCCAGTTTCTATAGCACTGCCAGTGGGAGATAAAGGCACCTTCTCAGAGCTACTTCTTCAATTATTCATGGTAACAGGAAACAGGCCAGCAGGCATAGCTAGAATCCACAGGAAAATCTCAAATTTCCCTGTTTCTATTTGCCACACTTTCCTCCGTTATTAAAACTGATCACTAACATAACTATTTCGAGAACATTAGTAGTTTAAAAAGTTAGTACCTGCTAATGTGTACAGCCTTCTAATGTGTGTTGTTGTTTTTTTTTTATTATTGTCCTGTATGAAATACCGGTAATTTTCAAGCAATTCAATGAGCTCCACATCTCCTCTTTATTTTAATCATACCTCAAAGGCCTATCTTCCCCTCCAGAGAAATTTTTCCATTAATTTTCTCCATCCTAAAATTCACCAAGTCAACAATACTCCACCCTCATATAGAATTATAGTAATATTAAATTTCTATGATAAGATAAACCTGGTCATCTGTAAATGGTAATACTCATTCCTAAACTCTGGGTACCTCTCTTTTTAAAGTAAAAAGAGAAAAAAAAGAAAAGAAAGCCCTCAAGTGGGCAAAACAGAAGGAAAAAAAGCAATGTCCTACATAATGCATAGTCTAAGTAGCTCTGAATAATAGAGCTAATTATAATTTCAACCCCCCAAACCTGCTGAGTATGCCTGCCGAAGCACTTTTAACTGAATGAAAATTAATATATCCCACCCACACCACACGCTATTTACTCAAACAAGTCACTTCAGTTCCGTGAAGGGGGTTATTCTTTAAAGCGTGTCAAGTATTTAAATTTTTACCATATATCTACAATTCACAAATTAACAGTTCTAGAATCATTAGTAGGACAAAAAACACAACCTTTCTAATGAGTTAAGTAGTACTCATTTCTGCTTGAACAGGTGGGAAATTTGGTTGAGATTTAATTCATCAGAGAGGAAATTGGCATGTTCAAAGAGTCACCAGACAGCCACTCCACATACCCCTCCACACCCTCTACACTCAATCTGAATGTGAATAATACAAAAGCAAAGAGTATTGCAATAGAGTAAAGAGAAGTTTACTGCTGGGGCGATACCATTTTCAGCCTATCTAGATCAGCGGTGGGAAACCTTTTTTCTGCCAAGGGCCATTTGGATATTTATAACATCATTCGAGGGCCATAGAAAATTATCAACTTAAAAATTAGCTGTGAGAAAAGCTCCTATATTTATTGAATTTCGAGTCCTGCGGCAATTGCCCTGGCAGGGCCAGACCAAATAATTGGGCCAGACGTTCGCTATCCCTTATCTAGATAGTAGTATTTGAATGGTAAAGGTTTCCTATTTGATAAGCCCGGGATCTCACTTTAAGTCCCATAATCCCTCCATACCTATCCCTTTCAATGGGAAGTTACGCTTTGCATATATTTTATTTCAAAAAAAAAAACAGTAACTGATTTTATGTGTCAAAACAATGAGGTTGTACTTCTACCCACCGTGAACGCAAATAAAAAGACAGACCTGTGCGTTTGACAATGATTCAAGCTGAAAGACTGACTGACACCTGTATCTAAAGAAGACCACTTTCCAGAGGCACCAAAAGCCATATGCTGGAATATGTAAATGCACCTGGATGCCTACGCAATTCTTCAAACTGAATCAAGCATTTCCTCAAACTGGGCAAGAAGAGAGATGGTTGGGATGAAATCAGGAATCTCAATTAGTAAAGGAAAACAGTGTTACTGAAATTCTCTGTCACAAAGTATGTGTCCCTCAACAACAAAGTCATCAGACTAATGACAGGTACTTAGAACTCGCTTTTGCAGATCAGCATGAATTTTTTAATAATTTTGAAGAATGTCATATTATCTTCCTTCAAAAATTACACTGAAAACAGTTCTGTATGTCACCTTCACACTGACAAAATATATCAGTGAATGTTTTAATTGTATACGAAAAGTATAAGAAAACACCTATTCCCTAAAATGATAAACCACCATGGGGTATTGGGAGGCAGGGGAGAGCAAGAAACCTTCTTCCTAAGGTAATGAGAGAGCAATTCATGTTTATGATTTTTATGAATAATATTTATGAAAAAGGCAGTCTATAACCCTGAAAGTCCTACACATTTATTTGAAACTTTTGAGTTTCTTGCCTACTCTAAATGGTATAATAAAGCACTGGTTGGTTGATATATTTTAATTTAATTTGGGGCTGAATATCCCAAAGATTTACACTGGGCTATACATCAAATACTTTTAGCATTATCACCAGAAGTATTATTTTCCAATAGTAAAATTTTCAAAGAAAATTATAAAGCCAAAAATAATTTAAAAATCATACATACACTATAGGTTTTAATCACTCCAAATGGTGCTTACCTGTTTTTTCACTGAACGACTACTCATGATTTTTTCTACCACTGGACCTTCTGCATCAACAGATTCCTAAAAAACAAAATGGAATGAATCCATCCAAATGGAAAATATTTCGTTATAAGCTATAAAAGCAAGAAATCATTCCCTTTTAGCATCTACCTCCATACCCTTTAAGTTCATATCCTTTAAAACACTGGGTACAAAGTCGCAGTGGGGAAAAAATATGATTGAAAAGAACAAAAAATCCCACTCTGCACAAAGGCAAAAGGAAGATCTGTGTTTATAACTTCGTGATTATGTGGTTTAATTATGTGGTCTAGCACAGATCCCTGAAGCCAGAGAGCATTCAGAAACTCCAGCTGCCAAAAGAAAATCATCTCTGCATGGGAGCAGCCAAAAACACAACCTTTCTTCATCTGTACCCATGGGGTAAATGCACTCATCACTCTGTTGTTATTGCAGGCAGTTTTTATCTATGGAGGTCACATGAAACGTTCCATAACAATCTAACATAGCACAGATTACCAAATAAAACACAAAACTCCAGTTAATATGCTTTCCAATGGGTTACCAGTTTGTTAACTAAAGAACAGTAATGGTAAGAAAGGGGCATTATTATTATTTTTCCTTAAAAGATCTTTATGATAATCAATCCTGTGTTACTACCCATATTTTATACAAACTATTTTATACATCATTTACATTGCACAGAGAATAAAGTGTGCCCTGCTGGGTACTACAAGGCAATAATTTCATAAAGGGGCTCTTACAGTGCCTAGCAGCAGGAGACAAGCCTGAGTGGTTTATTAAAGTCTCAGAAGCTACAGCACTGAATTCTCAGAGGTAAATTCAGCCTCCTCGCATCCTGGTTCTGACTCTTCCTCAACACAGACCATTAATTCTCCAAAATTGTGTCAAATTACATATCACAGGCTTGTATAAAAATACATTTCCACGAACAAGGCCTTTTTAAAGACGCTGCTAAACAGCGCGTTTCCCGTAGCACGTTCACCGACGCTAGACGAATGCTCCCCAGCTCCAACTCCAGCGCTTCAGTTGCACTTTTTGGGTTCTGGCTACAAAATTCCCAGTCATCGTGCCAGCTGCGGCGAGAGCCACACACACCCGGACGCTCACCTGCTGCTCGGACTGCGAGGTGTTGGAGGGGGAGTCCCTCCCCGCAGCGTCCGCATCCTCTGCCTCCTCGTCGGAAATCTTGAACTCCAGGTCTTCCGTGTAGCGCTTCCTCTTCACCTGCCTGCTGGACCGTCTCTTCTGGAACACAAACCCAACAAAGTGAGCCCAATGCCATCGCTGGTGCGCTTTACAACTTCTCAGGATGGCGAGGTGCGTATTTTTAAAGATTAATTTTAGCCCTAGCCGGTTTTGCTCCGTGGTTAGAGCACTGGCCATCGGACTGAGGGTCCTGGGTTCAACTCCAGCCAAGGGGCCATCCCTCGGGTGCAGGCTTGACCCCCGGCCCGGTCAGGGAGTGTGTGGGGGGCAGCCAGTCGATGTGTCTCTCTCACATATGTGTTTCTCTCCCCCACCCCCCAACACCTTCCACTCTCTCTGAAAAGTAATGGAAAAAATATCCTCAGGTGAGGATTAAAAAAATAATACTCATCTTGAAGAGAAGCTAGCTTTAACCCTGTAAATCACATAAGACATCATAGTGGCCAATGACTATAAAGGAAATAGGGGTGGGCATTGGAAGATAATCTGTACTATCTTCTGATTATAAAGTTCTAGATAAATACTATTATAATATTATCCAAGGTACCAATAATATTTCAGAGGGCCATTTAAACAGAAGGCTTGCATTTTCATCTTGATCCTAAAATAAACAGTCGGAATTTTTTTGAAGAGATGAAGGAATGAATATCAGAATTAATAACGAATGGCTATGAAAAGTAATTTTGTTTTTAAAATTTTCTTTACCACACTGATTAGAATGTAAAAGACTCGTAACAGCTAGTATTAGTTGGATTATTAGCAAAATGGGATCCTTTCCCATCACAGTGATCAAAACAGAACCCTGCATATCTCTGCAGGACAGTGTGGCCAGTATCTATGAAAATTTAAAACATGCCCACCCTGGACCCAGCAACGGCACCTCTAATAAGCTATGTAGCTTCAGAATATGTGCAAGAGAAACTGTGAAAAAGAAAAGCAAGTCACATAATAAGTAGCTTATAATTCTATTTAAGATAACAAAAAACCTTGTGCATTTATTTGTATGTGTGGATTATCAATACAATGGTAGGCAAAAGTAGGTTTAAGTTACCAGCCATCATTACCTAAAACATAAATTGTTAGTGAGGATATGAAATAATAATAATAAGGCAAATAATACAAATAAATAATAATTAATAAATAATAATACAAGAATAAACTGTTTTGTGTACTAACAACTGTAAATCTACTTTTGCTCACTCCTGTATATAAACTCCCCATGACAAGGACATGGTTTGTCTTGTTTACTTTATGACTCAATAAATATTTGCTAAAAAATGAATGTATAACCTGTATGTTTCCAATAACAACAAAAAAATGTGAAAACACACACAATAAATTGTTGATAGCTGTTAATTCTGGGGAGGGAAGTAAATGAGGCAGAGGTAAAGGGTTTTACACATTTTGTTCAAAATAATTCTTATTGTTTAATCTTTCTGATAAAAAATTAGTTTTGTCAGTTAATTAAAAATGGGGAGAAAATAATCTTTTCATTAATGTGTTGTGATAAAATCTAAGACAACTCCAAAATGACATTTTAAATGGCTGATAAATGCAAGATTACAACCTACAAATGAGTTTGCAAAGCGCATAGGAGATAAAAATATGAACAGAGGTAACTCAAACTTTTTCCTAAGAATTATGAAATAAAATTTTTTAAAGAGCCCGGTGGATTTTAAATTTGGATAGTCAGACAGAGAGACAAACTGCCCAACCATGTGAACCCAAGGAGGGTCAGACACAGCACCTATGTAGCTTATGCCAGGACCAACAAACAAACCCCAGAGTAGGACTGACTTTTATTAAGTCTCTGCTCTCAAAAGGGGATCTCAGGCAGCTCAAAATACAAACTCAGTGTACTATGACCATCAAATGGGTAGCTCGAGACTGTGAACTCTTAGCCTTCCTTACACTGTCACGGCTGCGAAGACATAAAACACCTTTCTGACACAGGTATTTGGTATAACAGACTTCCCAGTGGCTTAGACCAGAGGGAATCCCTCCTCTGACCCTCCCTCGTCAGCCTTGCCCAGAACAGCGAATTCAAGGTCAAAATGGGGCAAAAACCAGCAGGGGTTCTGCCATCTGTCACTCCTCTCCACATAATGGGGGGCAATTTGACGCTGTAGGCTCTTGAGCTGAATGCCCATGTTTAAATGAGCCCAGACTCTCACTCTGTGACGTTAGATGAGTTATGTTGTGGGCCTTTGTTTCCTGGTCTGTAGAATGGGTTAATGATAGTAACTACCTCATGAGTAGACTGTGAAGATTGCATAAGGGAATTCACCTCAAGCATTTAGAACAGTGCATGGTACATATTAATGCCAAATGCAATTAGTAGAATTAAAGTCATCATTAATTAGCTCCACCTTTCCAAAGAAAAATCAGAAAACAGTAAGGCTACAAGGCTACTTTGTATAGCTCCCTTTTTCCCTTCCCAAAGCTGACCTAGGCTAACTCCTGCTCATGGCCACTTTACCATCCCTCACTTCTCAAGAAGACTGCCAATTTCTTTAAGATAATAAAAGAACAGAATTTTAATTTTGTGATATTTAGCATAATGTCTGTATTTTGTTTGATGTATCAATTTAACTAAATTGAAATGGATTAATCTATATTTTCATCTTTATGTCATTACTATAAGGACTAATGTGTTACTAATGATGTACCTATGATGTCTTATCAGGTTTCCATGGTTGGGGCCACACTGCCAGAGTATTCTTTCAGCATAAGTAACTAAACACCCATAAATAAGTCTCAGATAAATCCACTAACACCATTCTGATATTAAAGAAATGTTCCAGTACAATAATATAGGAGAATTTTCTCTTTTTAAACAGACATTTATATATTGGTGGATATAACTTTTATAATGGAAGTTTCTCTTCGTATCAAACTTGTATTATAAATCTATGTACTAGTGATGGGCTTAGCTAGTAATGGATACGAGGTCACTTAATAATAGTAAAAAACCCAAAATACAATTAGAACTCAGCTTTCTGAAATATTTAAGTGTTATATGGCTTCTCCAGTTTCTAAATAATAATTGATCTTAAGTTCATTTATTTTGAGTACAAAAGCTTCTATTAAAATTTCCCAATATAAAATAAAATTATGTATTATATGATATGCTTTAGTATGGTCTGTTAAAATGTTACTATTTGAAATATTTTTGTGAATCAACATGAAGTGTAAGAATTACGTTTAAACTAGAACTCAAAGCTTTTAAATGGACACTAAAATCATAGGTCAACCTGCTAAACTTGGATTGCTTTAGAAAAGCTATTTATAGTGAAAACAGGTACACTGAAGAGAAAATTTAAATGTTTCCACGATCTCACTGTTGTAGCACTTTGTGATACAATTTTGAGTTCATTAAAATTATATGGCATTTACTGAAGTTTAAATAAACCAATCACAAAACTCAAGAACTTTAAGCCCTTTATGCATGTGGTACAGGAAGGAACACAATACACAACAGTCCAGCAGCACTTCCTGTGTCAAAGACACCGAGAAAGGCCTGCCTTCGGAGCCAGATCTGCTGCTGTGGCTGCTTGTATTAGCTGCGGAACCCATAACAGTTAAGCATTAGCCAATTAGAAAGGATGCATCGATGTTCATTTGAATTATCAATTTTCTATGACTAAAATGCAGGGGGGGAAAACACCCTGAATTAGTATTTCATAAAGTCCTTTTGAAACTGTATTAAAACAGACAGACTTCTAAAAAAATGGAAGCGGTATTTGTGGGGAAAAAACACACAGAAACAGAATTTTCTTGACTCATGTAAATAAATCCCCTTAACATTGTCCAAATACTATTGTCATAGAGGTCCTAGTTTAAGCAAACACAATTCAGAAAAAAACACACACACCATTGAGCATAAAAATGAAATTCAGAATCATTAAAATACTTTAGTTTAAAACTCCCTAAGCAATGAATAATAAAAAGATACCTACTTACCTTCCTAATATCTTTTCACTGCTGTGTAAAATCAAAGTACATTACAAAATTAACCCAAACTGCCAGAGGTATTGCTATGGTATAGAACTGAACCAAACGAAACCAAAACACATTCATTCTCATTCTCTCTCTCTCTCCCTCCCTCCCTCCCTCCTCTCCCTTTCAGGTCTTTGATTAGGCCATTCTGTGCATCTACAAATATTATCAGGGAGTTCTACTAAAAAGAAAGAAAACTACCTGAAATTCTTTAGAGCGGAGCTGTATACTGCAAATATTCTGTTTCTAACCTTTAAGTGAATTGGACGAGGTATAGGCAGAAAGTACTTAGTGCACTGGACAATTAGAAAAAAATCCAGCGAGCTTCTAGGGGCTGGCCTCCTATTCCAGCAGGACTCCTCGGTAACTGCTCCCTGATAACTTAGATGTCATTCGCAGAGGTTACATTCCCAGCCATCCCAGTGGACCGCGCTGGCATGCTTCCAGGGAACATAACAAGGAAATAATGTTTAACGATCACGTGTAAGGGCCCCTCACCTTGCAGTCCAATCAGCGACGGCAGTGTGCTCTGCGCACGGGAACCTAAATCCCTAATGTTGATTTCAGGGCTAGTTTTCCAGCTGATTCCTATGAAATTCTTCAAAAGTCAGGAGAATCTAAAACTGAAACATTCTGTGGCACTGCCATTCAAAAAGTCACTAACATGTCACGGAAACTGTGGTGATGCAGGAATATATCTCAGCTCTCACCACGGGGCATCAGAAACCTTAGCATAAGCTACAGATTACATCTTATCTTGATTGTTTCTTCTGCAAAATAAAAGAATTGACAAGCAACCCAACTTCAGAGAAAATCAGAAATGTGCATGAAGCTTTATATGAACCAACATAGTAATATGTTAACACTAGCCTTTACATAAACATCAGGATACATTTACAGAAATAAGTGATGATTCTGGGTTTTACTTATCCCAGAGTCGAAGACAGCAAAAGCAAAAAGCCAGGAGTTTAATTTCGCACTGGCCCCCCAGCTCTCATCACTATGGATATAATGTCCCAGACAACAATACAGCCATCTTCACAGCAGCTCTGTAACAAAGACAGGGGAGGGCTAGTGCACTTGATACGCGGCTAGAGTTACCCATGCTAAGTAACCAAGGCTGGGGATCAGGATAATGGTATTACCTGAACACCTGGGTCCTCATCGTCTTCAGGAGGAGATGGTGGGGGCGTTTTGTCTAAGTCTGAATTTTCAGAACCTTCTGTTTTCCCCTTGTTGACCTTTTTCTTCAAAGCACTTGCTTCTGAATCAGGTTTCTTATTACTAGAATTCAAAGTGGATCACTTAGTGTTCACTTTTTAATGATGTTTTCCACATGCCCCATGCCTTATATTTCCCACATTAATATCCCTAAAGTATCAACGACAATTGGTAAATCAATGCATGTTGGCCATTTGTAATTAAATAGCACTCTCAATTAAGTTTTTTATGGCAAACCCCCAAACTGACGACCTTTAGCAAATATCTAACCTAACTGAAAAGAAGAAAAAAAACTGCATGCAAAAACTCCTAATACCACACAGAGTACATTTGTTCACCTAGACAATGCAAAAATCCCTGTCAATGCACCAAGCCATAATGAAAAATCAGATTATGAGGTAGTTTCGTTGTGGAGTATTTAAGGTGCAGAATATGTTTTTTAAAATTGTCAAGGAAAACTAAAATATAGTGATCATTTCTGTGTGTCTCTTGCGGATAGTTATAAATACTCCTACTTAAGTGTTTCTTGACCAGTACTATTAGGTGCCCTCTTTTATATCACTCAGCTCCATTTTTATACAATTTTACAGCTCTTTAAAATCTAACAAAATATATAGCAATTTCCTTTTCTACATAATTTTAATTAATGCTGTGTTCTTAATTAAAATAAGCTTTATTTTGGTGCAAGGACTTTTGTAAGGTAGTCACAATAGCCTTTTTTTGAAAAAGCTAGGTCTTCGAAATACAAAAATATAGCAAAGCAACTCCAATAATTAAAGTACATGTTCCAGAGTAGGTTTCTATCAATCGTTAATAGGCTTTGAATATTACATAACTCAAAAGCCATGGATAAACTCTACCAAAAAAATGTTAATTTACATTTACCATCACCTTTAGAAACTCTGACGTTATTTTAAAACATACACTTAGTGTTACCTTACATTCCAATTTCCAAACCGCCCCAAGGTTTTCTAATATCAATTATCATTTGTTATCCAACATTTAAAATAATCCAACCTCAGTAATGACTATATTTATTATCTCTAGAAAGCCTAAAATTCTGCTAAAATTTAAAGACTAAGAATATTTTTTAAACTTTTAAGAAGTTTATTTACTGAAGTTTGTATATTCCCAGAAAAGTATGCAGACAGAATGCATTAAACAGCATTTTTCAGCCTCAGCTACTACAAAAGGAAACGAGGCCAAGACATCGATACACCGTTATGTAAGTAAAGCATGTGTCATATAAAATATTTCAAAAGTATTTGTTAATGTAATGAAGGATCCATCACACACCTAAAATGTATTTTTGTAATGAATAAACATCTTTGATAAACTTGAACAAGTTATTTTTAAGTACTCAGAGCTTGTTTTTATTTTGTTTTCTTTTAGCATAGTAAACAGCCACATAAGAAAATAACTTACAAGTCAAGATTAGAGCAAATGGCAGTCAAGTTTACAGTACTTTTTATTTTAAAAAAAAAGAAAAAAAAAGGCCGTGTTCTAAAAACTTCAAGTGCCCAAAAGATCCACAGAAAGAATAATAATTTTTAAATTAAAAAAAAAAAAAATCCATACAACAGTTCCTCATCCAACTGTCCTAGTGTTTACGCTACACATGGACAGAAGTCTCCCCCACTATGAGGCTCCATTTCCAGCATTTATTTCCGCTCTAACTGCCACAAATTATACAATACTACAGCTGAACGCTGGGCCCCTTCCCTTTCATCTGCACGCCAAGAGCAATCAGATTACCCTGGTAACCAGCGGTCACATGACCAGCACCTGCTCTTTTGGCTGGATGCCACTGACTAAAGCCATCTGCTTCCCTCAATCAGCTTTCAAACATTCTCAACACCTGCGCTGCAGTGTTTTGTGGTTTCTTTTATCAAATCAGTGCAAAACTGCTTCCAAAACTTTACATATTTCTCAAATTTGTTTAAATCAGAGGTAGGCCTGTCACGGAGCTGAACCACTGCCAGGTAAAGTAAGTTGGCAGCAAGTGCTTTCCACGGTGACCTCTCTACACCAGAGCAAAGTACACAATTTAATTTAGGGGGTTACTGTGCCTTGCATGAACTATCCTATAGGAGTAAAAGGCCTACTGTCCTGAAGCCCACCAGGTTTGATGAAATATCAGTTTGCTGCAAGAGAGACGTGCTAATGATNAGTCCAGGTTTGATGAAATATCAGTTTGCTGCAAGAGAGACGTGCTAATGATTTTCCATCTGCCCTTCCCAAGAACAAGTTACGTGAAACCTCCAAGACTGCTAAAAGTCGGACAGGACCTCTCCAAATGCTTAGACAAAAAGCCTGTAGCCAAGGGAAGCACTCATCCCAGATCTGATTACTGAAAGATTTCTAAACTCATTAGACCTTGCAACTATTAACGTTGCTCAGAGACAGCTAAGCATTTCCACGCGAATGTCTTCTCATGACACCAATATACAAATCAAGCACACGCTAAGAAGTGAAAAAAGCTACAAAATCTTCAATGTCCACCCAAAGACATTACAATCAAGGACAAGATGAAGTTATCTAAATTAAGTGGCCTTTGCTACTATTTTGCAATAAACTAATTTGGATTTTCAACAAAGTGTTATATAAAATCTGCTTTGCCCAAAAAAGCCAAAGTCAGAATTTTTCTTTAACAAATGCGGGTAATGCAATGGGTGGTGGTGAACAGCACAGGCCTGAGTTCACACTCAAACTGTGTCATTTATAACCTGTCTGTGACCTTTGATTAAGTCACTTTATTTCCCTCACCCTCAGTTTCCTCATCTATAAAGTGAGGTTGGAACTCATATCTTCCTCCAAGATTCGTCATCAAGTTTAAATGAGATACATAATGGATGAAAACCTTCTCAGTGCCTGGCACAAACGGCCACATTCACACATCTGGAAGACAAGCAGCTGGGAACATATCCTGGGAAGTCTGGGAACATATTCTGTGGCTCTGGCTCTGGCTTTGGCTCTGACCCACTTGGGCCGACACTCAACTGCAGAGACATATGGACAGGACCCCACTTCGCTGTGATCACTTTATACAGGCAACGTGAAGAGAAGGAAAGCCCTTTATCATCATTGCCCAATGCCAGCAGAAAGAACAAACAGGCCGGCAACCCCCAAGGCCACTCTTCTCCATGTCCATGACCACTGCTTTAGTTCAGACACACAGCATTTCCCATCTGTCACCTCACGATCTCCGGGCAGGGCTACCTACTATCAGACCACTGGAGAGAGGACACATACTCCACATTCAGTCCATTATTTAAACCTATAAGATTCAAAGCTAATCTTGTATAATGTCAAAGCCAAAACATAGCCATACAGACATTGCTCTTCCAAGTCATAATTTAGAAAGCTGGAATGCACAAAGAAGGCAGCTTTTCCAATTGGGGAGAAAAGAATGTTGTTAAAAAGGAATGTCCTGCCCTGGCCAGGGTCGCTCAGTGGTTAGAGCATCAGGCTGTGCACCGGAGGGTCACGGGTTCAATTCCCAGTCAAGGGCATGTACCTGGATTGCAGGTTCGATCCTGGCCCCTTGTCAGGGTGAGTGTGGGAGGCAACCAATTTATGTCTCTCTCTCACATAGATTTTTCTCTCTCTCTTCTCTCCCCCCCCTTCTACTCTCTCTAAAAATCAATGGGAAAAATATCCTCACTCCTTGGAGGATTAAAAAAAAGGAATGTCCCTTAAATGGACACTACAATATTGAGGATGAGGCCATTGGGCTGCCCGGTGCAGACACAGAACCTTGATGGGCCTCCAACAGCTGCAGAGATGGCTACTCACGGGCTTGGACCAAAGACGACCAGGTGTGTGCCAGGAACGCTCTCATTCTGGCCCTGAATGGCCTCGGGCCCAGAGAAATCACGTCTGCCCTCACCCCTCTCCTGAACCTGCTCACCTCCCACCTTTCTTAGGTCAGTGACAAGGCACTGCCACCAAAACTTCACCCACAGGCCCATCCTCCAGTCACCAGCAGCGTGACCAGCTAATGCACGTCTGACTCGATCATCTGTCCCCTTCAAGTCCGATCCCATGCGTATTAAAGACAGAGATTCTTGGCATTAACATACAAGGCCCTCTGCAATTTTTGCAACTGGCAACATTAACTTTATTTTGTACCTTTCCCACACCCCAAGCTCTGTGTGCTGTGCTGAAGAGGTGAGCTCCACCTCTTCCACCTTCACGTTCCCCAGACTATTCGGCCGCAAGTTGTGAGCTGGATGTCACTCGTTCAGAGCAGCATTCTCTGGCCGCCACAGTCTGGATTAGTAAGATCTCACTGCACACCTACACGCCGCGTGATGCAGCCCACACAGGGATATTTAAATTACACAAAATTTGATGGTGATGTACTAAACCCAAAACACTTTGTGTGTGTGTGTGTGTGTGTGTGTGTGTGTCTTTTTCCAACTATCCTGTAAGCTCAAGAAGAAAAGAAACAACTCTTATTTATCTTGGTATTTCTAGCGCCCGATCAGGCAGGTTACTGTGTTAGCTGATTAACTAAACAGTACGAATCAGAGTGACATCAACATATATACAGCCCTCAGTGTGTGCCAGGCACTACTCCAAAGGGCTTTCCTCATTAAGTCATTTAAGAAACCCCACACAGGCCCTGCCGGGCGTGGCTCAGCAGCTGAGCGTCGACCTAGGATCCAGGCGATCGGGGTTCGATTCCCGGGCAGGGCACATGCCCGGCTTGTGGGCTCGATCAATGACTCTCTCATCATTGATGTTTCTATCTCTCTCTCTCTCTCTCTCCTCTCCTCTGAAATCAATAAAAAAGATATATATAAAAAAAAAGAAACCCCACACAGCCCTAGCCAGTTTGCACAGTGGTTAGAGCACTGGACTGCAGACTGAAGGATCCCAGTTCAATTCCAGCCAAGGGCACGTACCTTGGTTGCAGGCTTGATCGCCGGCCCTGGTCGTGCATGTGCAGGAGGCAACCAATCGATGTGTCTCTGTCTCTCTCTGCCCAGCCCCCCCACTCTCTCTGAAAAGCAATGGAAAAAGTATCCTCAGGTGAGAATTAAAAAAGGAAAACCCCACACAGATTCTATCTT